CTCCCGCTCCCCCCCGGCGTCCCCCTCTGGCGGCTGGCGGCAGGTCCGACTCGCCACCGCCTTTCCTTGCTGCCCAGGGGGACCCGCTGTCCTCGCCTCGCTGTGTGAGCGGGCAGCTGGCAGCGTGGGTGCCCAGCGCAGCTCGGAGGCCGGGCCGGGCCTGGCTGCCCCGTGCTGAGGCGCTGGAGCGGGGGAGCCGCGTGCGCTGCAGTGCGGCTGCCCGGCTGCTGGGGAGCCCCCCTGCTCCTCCTGGGAGCTGGCGGCGGTCGGCCTGTTTCCTGCTAGGGGAAGACAGCTGGATACATAAGGCTCATGGCCATTAAAGGGGATCCTAGCTCTGTCATGAGGATGTTGAAAAAACCTGTGCCATGCAAGATCTCAGTATTTAATTGTCTTTTTAACACGAAAAAGGGCATTAGCGCGGACTAGCTCCCACAGGGGATGTTGAGAACCTAAAATGGCAGCATCCCTTCCCTCTCAGTGTTGTTCTTTCTGGTTTATGGTTTTGATTTCATTGTTTTCTATTACTCACTATCTGTTTCTCTTAACTCATAATATGGCACTGACTTCATTGCCATTATAAACCCTCTTGGGATTTTTCTAACTACGGACTTTCTTTCCTGTGTGCTTTTTTCCTATTAATGTTATGTAAGATTAGATGTAATATTTTGCTGCTCATTCTTACAGGGTGATTCATTTTCCAATTCTGTTTTCCCTGGTGGCTGAGCTTGCAAGTATTACTTGCTCTCAGTGGGATTTCTTACTAAAGTCAATCCTGCTCTGTAGATTATAAGTGGACAGGATCAATCCAGCTTCCATTTCCAGAAAGGTGGGAAGGGAGGAGAGAAAGAAACGTATCAAATTCGGGGGAGGGCAGAAGTAATGCCAAGGATTTTTACTCCACCACTTAAAAATGTCTGTTTAAAGGCACTTACTGCATTAGACTAACAGTTTCACACCCCAGAGGTGGCAAACAATGGCTGAGGATAAAAAAAACGTTTGTTGATGAGATAGATAAAGCGTTGGCGAAGTCTGAAGGGCTTACCTTGAAGGATATGCTCTTCTCCTACCGGGGGACCCCGTATCCCGTCACAGTGTGCAGTGTGGAAACGTTCCAAGCCCTGGAGAACCTGGAAGCCAGAAGAGATGATATGGTGCTGGTGTCCTACCCCAAATGCGGTGAATACGTCATAACTTGCTTGCTGTAGTCTGCAATACTGTAACTAATTAGCTGACACAATGAGAAGGAAAACCAACTGGTTGTGGTTGTACGTTGTGTGAGGTTATTGGGCATTTCTGCTACAAGCAGAGGCAGCGGGTTTTTGTCCTGCTTTATCTTAATTAAGCAACCTGTTGCACTGCTTTTTTATATGGTTTTTCTGAAAGGAAAAGAAGTTTTAGTGTTCAAAGATATATTTGGCTGAAGAAGTGAGAAGAAAGTACAAAGGTTTTTATATATCGGTGGGACGAGACAACTTTGCCAGTATGATAAACTGTGTTCTGAAATGCATGTTGGTAATGTAGCGTAGTATAGCGTACAAAAGCAATAAATTTATGCATTAGACTCTTTAAGGTGTAGGAAGTGATGCAGCACAGCATCTTTACTTGCAAAATTACAAGCAGTTTCTTGGCAATATTCAGTATCAGCATTGGTTTTTGTTTTGTTACTGCAAAATTGACTAGGACATACTGGAAGTCTAAATCTTTCAGTCAGAGGTTTGCAGAAAGGAGGACAGGTGCAACAGGAGCAGTGAAAAAAGCCCAACCAACCAACTAGTTGATTTTGATCAGTTTTGTTAAATGTCAGTTGTGACATGGTTGCTTACAAGGAAGGGATGGGTTTTGCTAATTTAGGAAATCCTATCCAAGCATATGTTTCTTCTCTGAGACCCAAGCAGCAGCAGCTTAGGGCTAGCGGAGAAAATGTGGGTCCAGGGAAGGATTTCATTGCACTAGCATGGCAGTGGATGTGGCCAAGCTGGCCTCTAACCAGAGAGTCCTAGGTCAAGGTCGCCCTCAGCACACAGAATTCCCATTGGTTGGCGAGTTCTGGTCTGGAAAGAAACTGTGGTGTATTTAGGGGCTTGAGAAGTATGCCTGTAGTGTTAGGGTGAAATTATAACAGCTGTGAGATAGGACACTGAACCAAGAGAAAGAGAGGACAAATACAAAAGGAAGGAGCTGGCACAAAATATGAAATGTGCATCTTTATTTTAAGGAGCCTGTAATTCTATTGGGTTTGGGTCCAGAGTTCTGCTGGACCCTGTAAAGACCCACAAGATCATTGTCATAACTTGGCACGGGCTTTGATTTCTCACAGAGTTTGAAAGAGTTCAGACACAGAGTTGTGATGCTGATTTCCTCTGAGGTTTAGTAACTCAGTAAACCTCTCCTGCTCAGGGTGAGGGATCAGTCGATAGAGAAAGAGATCTCACACTGTTAGTATTGGGCAGTTCATGGTAGGTCAGCAGGGGGAAATTTTACCAAAGACCACTGCCAGTTGTTCAGTAGGAGAGGGAGTACGCAGCTCCCTGTGGTTTGCCGGGGAGTGCAGCACCCTGTTACCCGGCAGGCACTGCTGGAAAGGCATAGGTATGGGAGGCTGCACGGAAGAAATGGGAAAGCAGGGGGGAGTGAAAATGCTGCATCTGTGCAGTGCAGTGTAGTTACAATCTGCAGGTAAATCTCTTGGAATTTCCTCCCATTTGGATGTTTGCTCTTATGCTTTTAAACAGTGCTAAATAGACTTCTTGTCCTAATTCCCTATAGCGTGCAAAGTGGGGGGGAAAAAGGCAAGAGAGGAGGATAAAATATGGAAAGATTATCTGCCCCAGTTTGAAACCAGAAATTGCTGCGCTCTGTCTTGCCCCTTGATGCGACACTTGGACCCACCAAGCCATAATGTTACTACATTGAAATGTCACTCCCTTGAAACGAGGGAGCCTGGTGTCTGGCTGGCTTTCCCTGCCAGCTTCTCAGGTGTTTTCCATGCAGGGCTCAAACTCTGGCATTTGCCAGGTTTAAATGGTCATGAACATGCCTGAGGAAGGACTCACATTGAGGTCCTTCAAAAGCTTTGTCTCTCAAAGCTTTAATATTGTCCTCATTCCTTTTATTTATTAAGTATTATGAAGGTTAAGTTACAGTGAAGTCTCACTGTGTAACAGGTTTCCCCCAACTCAGGTGTGCGCAGTGGAGAGGAAAACTCTGATGCAGAGAACTATTGATGAGGTCGGGGCAAGGGACGATGGAGCTCCCAGATGCAGTACTTCCCAGGGATGGGTCGCATGGTTGAGAAGCCAGTAGGGCATTCAGAGACTAGGAATTTTAGATTTATCTATTGTAGCTTTTCATTAAAATGAAATTTGTATTTGTGCACAGACAGTTAATATTAGGCAGATGAGGACATGGATTTGGAGACTCTTAATGCTTTTGGCTCTGGTCTGTATGTAAATGGGAGAGTGATATAAATGATATACATCATACAATGTCTTACCTATAAATATGATACTGGGTGGTATATAATTGTAATATATGTATTAGAAGACATTGCATGATGTGCACACATTGTATACACATTACTGTACAAATGATGTGTATCAGCTGCTTCCATCCAAGCATCCTGAGGCACTTTATATAACATAGGGTGGAAGTTTTTCCTTTCTGGGAGTAACTTTCCACTCAAAGCATGAGGTTAAAGCTGTTCGCATTGTGTGTTCCCTGTTAGTGCCTCTGGCAGCTGCGTTCACAGGGGACTCGCAGCATGCAGGAGGCGGCGGCAGCTCCGCAGCTCCATCTCCGTGGGCCCGGTGGGAAGCATTCCAAGTGCCTTCCCCCAAGGACGTGGGGAGGGTGCTGCGGGCCAAGGTGAACACGCTGTTCCCTTGCTCTGTCCTGCCGGCAGTCGGCAGAGCATCAGTGGAGCAAATGTGATTCCTGGAAACCTTGGGGAAGCAGGCACCACGGCGCAGCTCCAGGAGCTGGCCGCAGGCTCACGCTGGAACGGGATGCCGTGTGGGGGAGGCTTTGCTGCAAGATCCCTTCCAAAGGGTGAGGGGTGGGGAGGGATGCAGGCGTCCAGTGGGTAACAGCTCTTCTAGCACTTGTTCTGGCATGCGCTTTACGGAGACAGCAACAGGCACAACTGAGGACAAGCGCTGACAGTGACATTGAATAGATGACTCCATTTCATCCTTGACCTGGGCAGTAGAGAGAGGCAGATGCTTTTCTCGGCAGAATGAGCAAAGCTCCTTGCTCATTCCTTCGTTCTTCTGTCCAGACCCTTTGCAGGTGTTTCTCTGCAAAAGACAGGAAAGCTCCTGTTATTGTCTGTCACTGACTGTTTTATGAATATATGAAAAAGATGATAAAAGTGCGTCGTTGAGTCAGTTCTGCCCCCAGTGCTTTCCACATACCAGTCATAAGTGAGCCAAGAAGGTCACAGTTAAGAAGCTGTTGAGGATCTCATTAACGGAAAACATTATTTTGTTTATAATCATTTGAGAGCTTTAGCGTTATTTGTCATTTGATGACTGTCTATTATGCTGAATTAAGCCATGTAACGAGAAGGCTCTGAGATCTTATATAAACCTTTGGTATGTTTTATTTTGTTCTCTGGGTTTCTTGGTGCAGGTGTGAACTGGCTTATCCAGATTTTAAGTGATTTGATATTTACAGCTACCCAGAGTAAACCTGTAAGCACAGAACTACCGTTTATTGAATGTGGAGCTCCAGATAAATATCAGGTTAGTGAAAAGAAACTACTGAACCACTTAAATTCTGTTGTTTTCTCTCTCCTGCCCCT